ATCTGCCAGGAAGACAAGCATCACATGGTCCTGGTACTAGCAGTGAAAGCGCAATAAAGGCTCTGTTGACCGCTCGTCCCAAGAGGAGCAACAGCGCAGCAAAGGAGGCACTGCGCGGCCTTGACACTGAAAGTCACCCTTTCTATCGCACGCCTTCGACGGGTGGCCGGAAACCCAGGAGACCTGTTCTCCGAGATTTGTCTCTTCTAAGTAGTGATGGAACGAAACTACATGCACCAATTTTGCTCGATTTGCGCGAAAAGTTTACCAAGCCTGTACTAGACGAGTGGGACCTCGACTTCTTGCTCTCTCTGGCGGAACGTCTTGCTGCTAATATATATTACTTCGAGGAAACGGCTCTGCCCAAACTGCCCTGCAAACTCGTCGCGGTGCTGGGCAGGCGATATTTGCTCCTTGACGCCTTTGTAACCGTCCTAGGCGTACTTGGAGAGACGACGAGAGACGACTGGTGGAGATCACTTGTTGGAGGCATGCCAACTGATTTCAGGCTTCCGATTCCACGCAGAAGAATGACAGGACGGGATTTATTTACGCGCGACCTACTTCTAGACTTAGGGGATGCCATAGACAGTTTGAAGAGAGGCATGCGCCCTTGTAGCCTCGACACCGTCCATATTAAACAACGGCTGTTCTGCAGTGGGCTTGCTCCTCCAGCTTTTAAGTCGCCCACTTTCGATCCCTGGAGAGAAGATGACAAATTGTTTTGGAGTGGTCTTTCGACTCCCAAGCCACGGTAGAATATCTTTATTCTTCTTTGTTCCACGCTGAGGATTGTCACGAGAGGCATGAATGTGATTTGGAAACATTATTTAGTAGATAAGGGCTTTGCAAGGGTCGTTTCAAGGTTGTGCAGCGGCGCCCCAACATTGTAAGATCGCCGCAGTCCTCTAGTAGAAGTGCATCACTGCGTAGTCAGGTGCAGTCGCTTGGTTAATCCAAACTCAAGATCTGAACATAGGCATATTTTATTTTGTGTGACGTGAAACTGATGTTGGGGGCAAAGACACTGGTATCAATAAGGGCATGAATGTAGGTCCCAAAGGCCAGAGGAGGAAGCGTTAAGTACTCGTCGGTGCTCTTTTTAACTTTGTATGGTGATTACCGAAAGATGCACATTTTGTTTCTTATTCTTGCTCTGCGGTATTCGCTTATTGTATAAATTGTAGATGATGCCGGATGCATCTGCCTCCGCGGGTGTACCACAATGTGCAGGGCGTCTTGGTGAAAGTAAATTTTGCAGTTCGTCCAAGCCTTTGACGAATGCGCAGATGCTCATGATACTATGGTGTTTTCAATAAGCAAGAGGTAGTGCAGCAACGCGGTCCATCCAATATTCGATATTTGTGGAATCCCTTGGTTATGCGGTGGACAGGCGAGCGCATAGGCAATTGCCTTGAAGGCATGTTGAGTGCCTTTATGAATTTCCCCCTGCAAAGGTAACTGAACGAGGTTCTCTACACAATTGTTCTCGTTGTCACCATAGTGCGGAGCACTTGTGATAATGGCCAGCTAGAGAGCCTGTCTGTACAAGCATGCGCCTATAGTTCTTCTGCCAACGCATGTGGTGGCAGGGCTTTAGGACTATTCAGCGTGTACACGTAGCAACAAAACGTGGAGGTCTAGCATGAGTTTGCCCAGCCTGCACTGCGGTGGGCTCGTCGCTAACAGCCAGCTGGGCGCACTACTGCAGCATTGTGCTACTGGAAGCTCTGATGGCAGGCAGGAGAAGTAGCCCTTGCCTTTGGGCGCTTGAAGCAAACAAGCGGATGGAGTGATGTGAAGTTGCAGGTAGCTAATGCGTGACTCGAGGAGAAAATCCATTACCTAATACTGTTGAATGAAATTAGCACCTACATCGTGGTTCTGCGCAACTGATAATTGTTTAGACCTTACCTACCTACGCAGCAGTGAAAATATTTGTCTAGTGGGCGAAACGCGCACGTCGTCATTCACTGTTTTCAGTGCATGCGCTGCAGTTTGCGTTTTGCAGCTGAAACTCTGTGCGTCGCTTGTATCTGCGCCACAGCGATGCGCGCTAAAGCCTTCTTGGAAACAGAGCGGACTCGTTGTGACGGGGCTCCGCACTGTCTGAACGGCAGAGCTGCTGTGTTGATGCAGCACATTCGCAACGTTGCCTTAGCCGCGGGCTTACACTGCATGAAAGGTGGCACAAGAAGACTTCCGAGATACGTTTTGCGTGCTTGAACCAAACAAAAAGAACTGGCTGGCGCATAAGTCCGTACATGTATTCGTTAGCCGTTTTGATTCAAAGGCATATGACACTACAGAGGCCAATGCACAACAGAAGCACAGTTCATGAGTATAGGTTAGCGAAGCCTTTCAAGTCTTTGTGAGGGCATCAGGATGCATTTCTCCCTTTTTTGTTAGCTCAGTGCACAGTCTGGCATAGGGGAGGATTTGAAACGAAGAGCGCCTCTAATGCGGATAGAGGGGGAGAGAGGAAATGAGTTACTCCAAAGGGAGCCATTCGCCTGTGTGGAGTTGAAAGTCCAACAGTTTAATACCCCGTCGCTGTTTTGCACCTCTCTTGCTTGTTGTTTGACGGCAACTTTCCCTTTGTCTAGGCTTTATTCAACTGGGCCGTCATGCACAGAATTCCCAGCCAGCAGCGAGGCCATCCAAGCATGGGACTCGTTGAGGTAAAGTGAATGATGTTGCTCTCCTTCCCTTCTGGGCGACCTTTCATAGCTATGGAGTTCGGTGCATGGGGAAAAGACGTAATCAGGGGCTGCTGTGCCGGGGAGCCTGCAAGCCTATGCTTTTTCACTTTGCTGAGTGCAAGTTACAGGTGCAAGCCGCATAGGCATTCGCGGAAGTATTAACCCACATTGAACGCGGGCAAGCATGAGCATGTTCAGTTTTTAGCGTTTTCAGAATAAGCTCCACCACCTGGTAGTGGAAGTATGCGCTTCACCGCCCCACGGTGAAGCGCAGACAGAAGTAGGAACGCTTTTGTACTCTGGTAAACAGTATTGTGAAGCCACTGGCGGCATTCCATCTGTTTTGAAGAGCATCGAAGTCTCGTGGAACCTGCATGGGCAGCTGCCTACGCTACAAAGGCGAGTAGCTCAGAAACATATCTGACTGGCACCTATCGCACCGCAGCTAAACACTTTCTTGCCAGGCAAGCCTTCGCCTGAAGATACAGTCCAGGTTGCTTGTTCCCATCTGTCATTCCCTCTACTTGTGCGTTGTTGTTGCTGTCACGTGCCCCTAGGTTTGGGCCCTGCTCTTTAGGAGTCATACTTGGAGATTATTCCCATCTGCTGTTCTCTCTACTCAAAGGCCAAACGTTGCCCTTCAATGTCGCTGGGTGTAGGCCCTGCCCGTTTGGTTTTGGAGCCTTACTTGGAGCCTTTGCCACTGCACAGTACCAGGTCCAATTGCCTCTTCACCCATTTGGCGCACAAAAAGAAACTAAATGGGGCTAGTAGGTAGCCGGAACCAGCGCTTAGCACATTATTAACGCCCTCACTAGCGGCCAACGTACTACCAACACGAAACGTTGAAGCGGTGTTCCAATTGACCACTGGTGTGTGAATGCAGCCGTCGATTCTCCAGGCAACGACGAGCAGTGTGCCAATCCGCCCCACATACGTGCATTATTCCCCCTACAAGCACATTAAAATGCAGAAAGTTTCACATTCTTCATTTGCAGAGCAAGCACGCATTCAGGAAAAGGTGTCTAAGGGCCTCCGTTTAATTTGAGGGGGGTAGAGTTAGGCCAGGGTTTCCTGCCGCCTCCACATGCAAACTTGCATGCTTGGAAGTCAGAAGCCAACTGAAAGCATGATCAAGGGTGATCCAAATCATTTTAGAGGAGTTTGTTAAAAGAATGCACATCCTGAGCGACCTTCGCAATATTATAGAAACAAATGGGTTGACCGCCGATTGCAGACGATTCCAACGCAAGCTGCAGGTACACGGCATGATCAAGAGGACAGCTTCCACATGCTGTTCTTTCAAGTAATTTCAGTATTTCTGATTGTTGCTCACTTGAAATGTTGGACAAAGGCTAAGCAGCTGAAGCTCAACTTCGCAGACGTCCTGCCTAGTGCTCTGCAGCAAGCATAACCCACCGTGGAGGAGTGGAAACCGCCCTTCAGTGTGGCAGCAGCCTTTCCTGCTTGATAATTTGGCATTCGACATAAGGGAAGACTGGATTATCTAATTTCTAGGTGCAACTGGATGAAAGATTTCAAGATTTTGCACCAGTAGGCGCGACCACTCCGCACCGAGGGAGTCGATACGAAAGCTCGTGCTCTGTGGCGTCCCTTGCCGAGCACTTCTTTTCATTTGTGAATAGCTATAGTATTTTTGACGTTCATGCGTCGGTAAAGCATGCATTTCTAAGGCGGAGATATTTCAGGCTCTGGACGTGCTTTGCTCAGATTTTGCATGTAGAGCTGTGTCCGTTCGAAGAGCTGAGTAACAGAGTGCATTTTTGGCGTAATGACAGCCGGTTACATTCTCAAAGCAGAGGAGGGATGACGGAGAATCAATCATATTCGGTCACGGCGGTCCAGCCGTACAGGGAACCGCTACGTACATCTCATAACATTGCCGCAGATGCAACAGCGCCGAAGCGGTCTACGTATTGCCGGCATCGCCTGCGGGGTTATTCTTGCGGGCGTGTGTTCCTCTATTCATTGGCTTCTGCTGCTGCCATTGCTCTGTTAGTAACTCTTTGTAGCCTAGCTCAAATGAGGAGCCGTGGCCTTCACACTCGCCTTCGCCAGCTTTCGGTGAATGACGGAATTCATCATGAATCCGGTGTTTGCGGCAGTGAGCCGGGTGGGGAAACATCTGAAGAAATATCTGAGCAGTCTACTGATGGGATAACTGTCTCATTGTCTTCCGCGACTTCAACTACGCAGCGGCGCACTAGGGAAGAGCTGCAGGTGGGCACGCACCCGCCAGGTGCAGTCGCCGACAGTGCCCCCTCCATCGTGATCTCTAGTGCGCCCGCCGCGAATCCAGCGGTCTTTCCGATACCCGTGCTTTTTGGGCCTCTCCCGTCAACACAACCGCAGCTCGTAGTAGTTCAACAGCCCACTACTTTGTTGGTTCCCGGGAGTGCAGAGACACGCTCGTTTCTTGTGCTGTCCAATCCAATACAGACGCTGCTCGTCTTTGCCCAGCCTACACCTACCGCAACCTCCGTGCCTGCCAACACTGTTGAGACGTCTTTGCCTCATCCCCCGGCTGGCCCAGGTTCCGCCGAGCGTGAAGCGGCCGAAGCGTTGCTGCAGCTGTCCGCCGGTAGGGAGGCAGGGGAGCGGCCCGAGGAAGAGCATCAACCATCGACGTCTTCTCATGCATTGCAGAGCGTCGTCGTTACGCTAAGCCAAAACCCTTTCTCTGCAAGTGCGGGAGCTGGAGTAATAGGTGTCCAGTCTGGAGGCCTTGGGTATCCTGTGTCGGCAGAGGAGAGTTTTCTTTGCCAACATACATTTTGTCGTCTACCGCTGGTAAAAATTGGAAGAAATGTGAGACAGCTTCAACCATATGCTGCCTTATGTGTTGCTTATGCCACGGTACAGCCGCTCCGGCTGTTGAAGCAGGCGCGCAGCTTGCTTGCAAAGCCCATTATCACGGCCAAGGAACTGGAATCGCTAACATTTATTTCTGAGCAGTTATGCGCCTACATTGTGTATGACAAGTTTGACTTAAGCACTTTCCGCATTGTTCGCATTGCTGAGTTTTTGTGCTTGCGCTTTCTACTTATGGACGTTATCGTTTCGGTGCTTCAGCTTTTGGGTCAGCAGCCGGAAGGGCACTGGTGGGAGCAAGTTATCGATAAAGTTCCTCACACGTATCCGGGCCAGGACAAGCCGCTTCGGCAGTTGCGGGTAAAGCATTTCTTTTGGAAAATGCTTCTTCAGGATGTTAGTCGTGCTTTGCAAGTTTTAAAGGCAGGGAGACGGCCTTCTAACAGAGACTTAGTCAAGCTGAAGCGAATGATTTTCTGCTCGAAAATGGCTCCACGGAAGTTCAGATATGGAGCATTTGATGTGTGGAGACGTGATGATGAACGTTTTTGTTGAGCCAGGCAAAGGCCTACCTGAAGGTATATCAAAGTAGTTTCCCCGGTGCAGATATTGCGTTGGGCTGGCTAACACTACAACACTCCTCTTCAGGCGGCCTAGCACTTCGCAAGGGGTTATCAAGTGCATGGCAACGGGCTTCACGTTCACGTGTTAGAGGCCGGAGCTGTGCGTCTTGCAAAGAACTAAACGTCTTTTCAGGACCACATACGCGCCGCGTCGTACGAGCGATCGTGCGCTTTGAATATTGAGGGAACTTATAACCGCACAACCGATGGAGACTACCTGGGTTGGCTATTGCTACTGGGCCGCTTGATATATTTTTCGCGCTTGCACCGGCAGCGCAGCAGTGGGCAAGCCCCTGCTACAAGGACACCTTTTGTATTTTTGGCACTTGCAGCGGCAGCTTCGAATGGTTACTATGCTGTCCATACACATAGGGTGCTCACCGTCATCGTTCATTGTCCTGATGGTATTAAAGCAGAACTATTGCGAGGACAGCACATTTCGGCCCCATTATTGTAAGCAGACAGGGCCTAGCATTTCTTTTGGAATCTGGGGTGCGCGTCTTCGTTCGATTTGGTCTGAGAAGATTGCACTCATTTAGATAGAGAGACCTGATTTTCTATGGTGTTGGTGTGGAATCAAGTTCCTGCAGCAGCAGCGAGTGTTCTTGTAGCATCGCTCGTCTGCAGTTGGTACGTGTGCTTTTACTTGCGCACAGGTTGGCAATTGAGCTCCAACAAGTGTTAATCAATCGTCCACGGTAGTAGCTTGCGTTGATATCGATATTGCCATGCAACGGCAGTTCCAGCAACATGCATTGCAGCACCAGCACTGGGCACGTGTGCCGCTGTGAACAGGACACGTGGAAATTTGAGGCCAGTCGAGTTGCTTTTTGGAAACTCTTATTGATTTGCTATCTCTATTGCAGCTCAGGACGGTCATCTTCACAGGGCGACGTTGACCATTACATCAGCCCCAGCACACTAGGTTCACACGTAACTGAGTTCAACCACAGCTAAAAGGTAGAATTGCTGGCATCCTTCACCAAGGCGACTGCTTCACTAAGAGTAATGCGTATTTGCACAGCCAAGGCCTGAACGATTGATTAGTTGAACAAATTAATTCTATACTTTACAACTTCTTGGGGAAATAAGAGGCAAAAATACGGACGGAAGTCGACCGTTTCAATATAATTTATTGATAAGAGGGGATGAGGCTGCCGGACGGGCAGACGCGGCTGCAGGTTTAAGAAATAAAACACTGCTCTTTTGGGAATGCGTAGGCTCAAAAACAAAGTTTACCAATGAACAGTTAGCAAACCTCGGTGAAGGGCCAAAGCCTGCCATATTTAAACGCGAATAGTCGCTGTGCGAATGCGCGGTTTCGAGCCGCCACTCCGCCGCTGCGTACACCTGAAGCTTAGACAGCTCAGTCAACACCAGCAATGGTGTGCCCCATCCACGCACTAGAGCCTCCCAATGTTCATTATATCCAGTCTCGATTGACCTCCTTGAAATTTCGTTTTGTCGAGGACCAGTCTTTCGCCAGTGCTGCAGACGCCTTGAACATCTTACTCCCTTTTCTGCCCAAAGTGTAGCACCTTTACTTCACGCCATCCCTCTAAGACGTCCTTCGGCGTCTTAATTAATGCACTGAAACGTGACTTTGATCCGACTTGTCGTTGTTAGGGTTCAGTCGAGAGCTCACGTGTTTCGTGGTAGCTCACGGTTATCAGCTGTGCATGAAGTTTCACTTGCTTTAGTCTTGCTAGACTTCCTATCCTCAAAACTGCGTATTAGTAGTAACTCTTATAGCATGAAACGTTGTCACTATCGGCGAAGTTTCACGAAAGGGTGCATGGGCAATGCACCCTTTCGTGCGTGTCAGGCACCTCCGTCCATCAGCACTTCGAAAACTTGCCTGGAAATATTCTCATGCTTCAGCAGAACAGAAACACACCTGGAATTTGAGCCTGCAGAAAAATGCTAAAGATCAGAATCCCTTCAATTGCATGTGTTCACACTGTAGTAACTGCTGCAGTGTTGATGCTGCCGTCGCCCTGACCAATCTTGTCTTCTTCTAGGATAAATCTGAACTCTATACAGAGCCCCAGCTGAACGAAGTTGAGCCCGCGCTTCGCAGTGAGAGCCTTTGAAAAAACGCATGCTTGGAAGCAATGCAGCGGAAGAAGGGAACAGTGGATAATACTTCTGGCGGACGGCAAGGAAAACCCAGAGGCGCAGCTCCGCTGCACCTGGAAGGGTGGATGAAAAATACTTCACACACACTTCAGGTTGCAGGTAGCCAATCGGCGCTGCATTCATGTAAGCAAGTGTATATGGAAGCTGGTAGGTCTCCTGCGCTTGCCTTTGAGCACGCCGAATTCGCATACTTCACAGTACTGAATCATGAAATCTGAATAAAGTTATGGACAGATGATAAAAACTAAATAAACCGGCCAGAAATCCTTGATTATTCCCAACCTTCGACATCTTCGACTAGCATGCCCGTCGAGGCGGCATCTCACTGGATAAATTCACGTTCGGGATGCAGTTTTCAAATGCACTATCATAACTGCGAAATCCTTCCAGAGTCTACACCCAGGCATAAGGCTGCTTAAATAGACTGTGGTGGTTTTGATGCATACGGCACGAGTGGCCTGATGCTTTGCCTCATGTTGAGCATGTGAATCCAGCAGCAAAGGTACATCCTCTCGCCCGCCGCAGATAATTGTTGAACCGACCACTCCTCGCCCAAGCGGAAGGAGGAACCACAAATGTTCGCTTTGTGTTGCTCCTGTTCCTAAAGCAATTGTAGGCTTTCCCTCCAAGAATTAAAGGCGGGAGCAAGGAAACGCTGCGGGGAAAAGCTTGCAGTGAATAGAAGGCGGTGCAGTACCGCGGCCTCTCCTGCCGGCAGCCGACTCCCACGTTTAAGTGTTCCCAAGGCTCTCACCAAAGTGTTAAGGAGCATTCTGTTGTACCCCACATCCAATCTCCCACTAGGAAAGACAGGCAAATATGGGTAGGAGTGAGGAACCTCATTACAAAACCTGTCCCACCACTCTCCTTCAAGGCGATCCCCTAGAGCAAGTAGCGTCGCCACAACGGTTTCAAAAACTAAGTAGCGAACTCCCAGCGTTGCAGCAGCGCGTGAAGGCCGGCTGAGAGGGAGTGGACGCTTTTGGAAATACAGTGAGTGGCTCACCAATTGTTCTGCTGCATTCGCCAAAATCTTGGCTTGTAGTTCTGTAAGAACCGGTCTAGTAAGCAGCTCGTGCGCAGTGCACAATAATGGCACTGGGTCCAAAGGTGGTGTGCCATTCTGCAGAGCTTTGTAGCCATCAAAGTGTACAGGGTTTTCACTTAATACAGATGGCAGGTAAAGGAAAGGATTACGCCAGGCATGTTCACCCCCTGCCCCTGTTGAAGGTCCAGAAGATAAATTGCCTGCTGCCCCAGCTGCATCTCCAGCTGCAGTTCCAGCTGCAGTCCCAGTCTCAACTCCAGCAGCAGGTGTAACTACAGGCCTACGAGCTGCCGCATTAGGTCCATTTCTCATTGAAGCTACAATTAGCGAAGCCATACTCTCTCTAGTGCGACGCTCACGCACAGCCGGACGTCCAAGTACACGTTTAGGTGCGATTCTAGGGTGGCGTGGAGCTGCGCTGGGTTGGGATGCCAGGAAAGCAGCAATCGGGACAGCCATCCTTCGGGCACTCGCGCCTTCCGGGGTGGGCTCTGTCGAAGGTGGGCCAGTGCCTTCTACATACAACACTCTTCCCACTGCAGCACCGCCTACAGCGCCCAAATGAACTTTAACTTTCCCCCCTCCCTGAAGCTCCAACAGTGCAGCAACTCCCCCTAGGTCCCTGTCCGTCCAAGTTTTTCCCTTGACCTCTTTGGAGGGCATAGGTGGGGCAGTAGGACGCGGAGCCACCTGAGTTTGGTGTGCCATTGTTTCACCGGCACTTCCTCCCTCTTCACGAGAGCCCACTAGTATCTGTTGAGACCCGACGGAACCTGACGGCCCTTCCTCGAGGTGGGGTCTCTTTGCGGGTGGTTCTCCCTCGGCAGGCCCATCACCACCAGCAGCCAGCCAAGCTTCTTCGCCAGTTGAATTACTGTCACACGCGTTGGCCAATCCATGGTTGGGTGTCTGCTCATCTGATAGATAGCGAGCACGAGAATGAAATGCCTGCCTTCTCATCTGATTTCTGCTGCAGATGGATATTAGCAGCGCAACCGCCGCCATACACGCCACGGAAGCGAGGAACGCTAGACCAGAATAATGACCCCGTAGACGGTGGCGAAGGAGTTGTTGCGCCTTCCTTGTTGGAACTGAGGTAGGAATGGACGCTAACGGGGTCCCCATTGTGTCACCCTGCCCAACAACGGCGCCTGGGAAGGGCCCCCTCTCACGATCCTCTGGCATTGCCTGATGATACGACAAATTCGCGGTGGTGGTCAGGAGAGAAACCCTTCAGTTAGTTGTTTATCTATAGAAGTGAGCAATGCACGGTGAACTTTGGTACCTGTTAGCTTCCAAATCCTTCGTCACAGCGCACCAGCCCGGCTCCTGCGCCCCATTGATGTAAAAAAGCAGAAGATATGCCGAAATAAATCTGTGCAAACAATGGTAAACGCTCAAAGTGGGAATGCACGGGACAGACCTTTGGGGATCGTACAAGAAGTCTGCATCGATCAGCAACCACTGCATGAAGTCGTAAAAAACACGAGCAAACAATGAGTTCAAGCTGGCTGTTTATGACTTTAAAATGACCTTAACTTGCTTTTGTAGACGATGGAATGGAATGCAGAGCAGTACCCACACAACCCTCCAAAACCGCGTTCCTACAAACTACCCGGTTCCACCAGTTTCATTGACGCACCCGGCTTATATTATCTCCTGCCAACCAACTTTATCACACTCATTTCAATAAAAACCCTCGAAATACCAGAAAATTGACATTATCCCGCTATAGTCGAGCACGTGCAGTCGCCTATCAATAAAGCTGCAATCATTAGCGCCATGCACGCCAATCACCACTGCCCGAGAACCAGCGCCCACAGGCTGCACCATGGCACTGCAGCTGAACTATGTGAGTTGCATATCGAAAACAGATGATGCTGAGCGAGTTATCTTAAAACATTTCGTGGAAAGGAGCGTTCCCTATAGAAAAGTCGAAGAATTCTCCCAAGAGATGCCCGAGCACTGTGGGGCTACGCGCAGTGTGCAGGCACTGCAACAGTGCTCAAATTGGACCTCTACAGCTCTATCCGGCACGGAGGGAGCACACAATATATTATTAAAAATATATCAAGGCGAACTGCATAGAAAATAAGGCAATTAGGCAATGAGTGCAGTGCATCTTCCCAGGATCGAAGGCTCCCCGTGCGTGGAGCTCGCACATGTGTTTGTGCGCATATGGGTTGGGAAAGGAAAAGGAAGTGTTTAACAGCTGTCTACCGCATAGGCACCCGCCACAGAAGAGGGGTGTTTTATGGTTGCATATGGAGCTGCGTCTCAGTGGGAGTTGCAGCAAGCAGCGCTGCAACTTGTGTTCATCCGTCCCTCCTCCGCGCCAACCACAGGATCTCGTTCCACTGCGCTCATGATAGAAGCAAGCTTTATCCAGTGATCGTTGTAAGCTGTACTAGAGTCGACATGCTCAATATGATAAGAATGCTTACAGTGCTGCTTGCCGGCACTCGACTATCCAGCGAACAGGCGTCTCTGCGGAGTTATGATTGGTTTGAACAGTGAAATACTTGCTATATAGTAATGCTAATGCTTCGTCACTCTCCCAAGCCCCCCATTCTGCCCATATGAGAACGTCTAGAGTTGTCTAGTATACCGTGTACTTTTTTCTCCCCTGTGAAGCGTTCTGAGTAGCAATCGATTATTTGGTATTTTTCCCGGCATTCGTTGTGAGAGCATCACTCTCATCACTGTTTTACTGGCATCGGCTGTGAGTAAGAAAGGTATGTCGAACTCAGGAACCAATAATATCTGATGAGGTTCCTGAGGGCTTCTTCGATCTCTCTCCAAGTACACTGTGCATTCTTTCTCATAGAAACACCTATCCCAAGGGACTTCATCTACGCCGATTCGACTCCCACTGAAGAGACACGACATCAAATGGAGCAAATATCTTGCAGAATAAAGGGGAACACATATGTACCTTTACGAAGCACTGCTACTTGCGCAGCAGTAGCTGCAGTAGCTGCCCCAGTTTCTCCTTCACATTCCGGCAGAACACAAGACCGTACTCCTTGCATGAAACTATCCAGCTCTCATTAATTGGGCCCAAAATATACGTCTCATCCTGTGGCAGTAGTTTGGCAAGTGCATTCACTTGCCAAATTTGCGCGCAGATGCAGCCGTTGCCAGTGCGGGGGTGAAAGGCTCGTTAGCATATCTTGGAACCTGCAAAGACGCGTCAATGAACTCAAATAATGTAGTGACTGCTGGGCAGTGCAAGGGATCAAGTACTTCATCGATTCGGAGCATCGGAAAATGCCCTCACTGTGATTTATTGCCAGGCTTGAAATCCACGTATTCGCGCGACTTGTCGTCGCTTGCCCTCCCAAGCACCAGATTATGACGGACAGCTCCAGTTGACGGTTGTGTTGCACCTTATTGTGGGAATACTGGATGCGCTACGGAAGGAAAGTTTCCCTGTTTGGAAATAGCCACCGCTGTTGTGACTTTCCTCCTAACAGACGGTTTCAATAGCCTCTATGTTCTTCCGGTGCACTCCGAAGACGAATATAACTTCCACAAAAAAAATGCTTATATTGCCTCCTCATCGCTGTGCCTGTCTCATCTAAATGGCTGGCGAAAGCAAATGGACTTTGAATGAGTGCGTTCAACTGGATGAGCGGCGGATACTGCGCTCCTTCGAATGCAACGCAGAGCCCAGCCCTTGGCCACCCTTTCCCCAGCTAGGACGGCTCGACTACCCCTCTGGACCTTTATCCAGGCTTGACGAGATGTTTGCAGGTGAATCTCGCGACGATCTTCCATCAGGCTTTCGCCTGACTTCAGCCCACTCACGCCTACTCCACCATATTTCGGGTCCCATCCGATGTGCTGCAGTTCACGCCTCTCTGAGTTCGTGTTGGGACAGTAATATATGCGAAGGAATAGAACATGACACCGTACTACTTTTTTATTTACTAAAGAACTTGTGTAGGATGAGCTTTAGCTGCTGGGGACTGTAGCGAGCAACGCTATCAGTTACCGCTACATTTGATTCTACAAGGAGGTGATACCTAGGGGTACATTGGTTTGCCCAGTCTCCGCGACTACGCTACGCAGATGGCAGATAGGATATATGAATTGGCAGAAATACAGACACTGCGAGGTTAACACACAAATAGATCAGATTAACATGATACATGACTTCTATGTTTGACCATGCACCAGCGGTATTCTAATTTTCGGTTTCATCCGTGTTGCGGCACGCAACAGCCGCCACCGGAGGTACAGCGAGCAGGCATGTTTCAGGGGGAGAGTTCTTAGTTGTATTGAGTACGACAGAGCTATCAGCGGGCCAGCAACCCACTAGATACTCAATGCAGATATTAACAAGAGAAAATTTCATATGCATGCACTGGTTTGAATGAGAGGAAATGCAATAAACCTTCCGTCTCTAGTACTAGCCGAAGCCTTGCGGTCTCCTCATAATAGTTACTGATGTGCTATGATTGGAAGTTAAGGCCGTTTTCAGCTCTGAAAGCATTTTTGCAGCTGCATTACAGCATGTCTTCATGCCTAGACCCGTTTCTCAGAGTACCAAAATTCCGCATGCCTCAAATGGCTGCTGGCTCTGCTGTAGTGCCGTGCCACACTCTATTGGTCCCATGCATGCCAGTTTAGTTGCCCACTCGATAAATACGCATTACACTGAGCGCAAAGCCCTTAAGATAGCCTTTAAATACAAAAGAACAGCCTCTATTTCGTACCCCGGGTCCAATCCTAAAGGGGAAGAGCAATAATAGTCCCCATGCTGACCGCTTGCGGGTCAAAACCAGTCTCGCAACCAGCCCCAGATCCTGTGCAGCTGCCCGGCACTATTGGCCCGGTATCCTTATTTCCTGGATAATGTGGCTTGATTTATGTCTAATAATATTATACATCTGCTCTCCCTTCCGGATAGATCTCGAGAGGTTCCAATTTGAGTACCATTATAGTGCCTGCGCACTACAGGAACCCTCCAACGGACCCTCCAAAAGGTGTATTAGAGGCCGATCCTCCCCGAATTTTTCTAAACTGTCTGAATACAGTCAGCTGTCGCTATTCACGCATCTAGATGCTCAGGTGCAGATGCCGGGTTTTCTTACTGAAGAGCTACTGCGAAAGAGAAAAACGGCTAACGGGAATGGGCCGCCACGGTATCGGCTGCTCCGGAATCCATAGACAGCCAAAGCTGACCTGATGAATAGTTATCTCTTCACCGTTTCCACTCTTATTCCCTAATTCAAAGCGCTGATTTTACGAATCTTTTTGGTCTTCTTAGTTCCCGCACTGTGCATCTACTGCCCTCCACAACCCTTCAGCTCCTGAAGGGGGCAGTGTGTGGGCTCAGTGGAGTTGGACACGTCTCATGCGTTCGTTTTAAATACTTTCTGCCTAATAGTCGAATTGACAATTAGTGACGATCCTGCCTATGCTGTTGCACTGCTGTTGCTGCAGCAAGAACAGCATTGGAGCCCAGCCGCCTCCCGAGAGGAGTCCGCACGATATACCTGTCGTGAAGGATGTTGGCTCATTCGTTGATTCTCCTCCTTACACTCCTCCCTGCTGCAGCTAGTTCCCAGGGCTCTCTGGGAGGTGCAACGGCATCTTCAACACCCGGAGCATGCAGCGCAGGGGGCGACGGGAGCAGCAGCTGCCCTGTCGCTGCCCGAGATGAAGAACATCGCAGGACCCTGAGAGATATCGAGGCGTATGTGGCTTTGCTAGAGGGAAGACTGGAGGAGAGACTGGCGAAACACGAGCAACGGCAATGGGAGCAGCAACGCAATCTGTTTGTCCTGTTGGCCGTTAGCATTTGTCTTGCGGTGGTATTTATCGTGGCTCTTGCTGCATGCAAGGTGTACGTCCAGTCGCTGCAGAACCAAATACAATCCAGCTTACAAGCGGAGGAACTGCGAGGGCTACAGGATAGTCCTGTCGCAGGACGGCAGACGCCGTGTGGAGGTGGGGTTCCGCAGAAGCAACCGCTGCCTCGCGAACAGTCAAAGCTATCTTCAGTTGCAGTGGAAGAGCGCCATCAGGAGGATCGCTGGTGCAACAACTGGCGCAGCGAGGAGACCCATCCGACGGCTGCCAACGAGCTGGCCTTCGATGACGACTTGGGCGACGATCCCGGTCTCTGTCTGTACCCGTCTGGGGAGGATGTTGGTGAGTTACCTAGCTTCATCATCACGCTTCAAAGTTGTGGATGGAGTAAGCGCTCCAGCAGCATCAGCAGCATAGGTTGCCGCAGCGTCATTGATTCCAGGCGTTTATGTGAGGCAGTGTACAGTAAGTGTGCGGTGTGTGCAGCTGCAGCAGAAAAAGCGAGGACCGTCGAGGAAGTACGGGCAGCAACAGGGTTGTCGCCTGAGTTGCAGCAGCAGCAAGAACAGCTGGAGGCCCGCTGTTCCCGCCTTTTTGAGAGGCTGCACGAAATAACAGACGCCAGCAGGGCTTTTTGCAGCAGCAGCAGCGACTCGGAGGAAGAATTAGCAACAGACCCTGCGGGGGTCGATGAAGTGCAGGGGGAGAAAGCAGCAGCAGATGCACCACCAGAAGATAGTGTAACTCTGCACAAAGCAGGGAAGCCACAGAATGGGCGACAACGGAAGAAACGGCGGAATGCGGCTGACCCCTCGCGCCTAGAGGAGCAGCGGGAGCTGCTGCAGCAGCTGCAGCAGCTTTTCCATGAGATTGATGCGACATTCGTTAGGAACAAGCCGGCCCATGTTTCTGTCATGATTCGCTGCTGTAATGCACTTCTCCGGGCTGACGGTCTCGCAGTCCTCAAGGCTTGCGCAGACTGCGAGCCGCTACACAAGGAAGCACAGAGCATCATTGAAATTGTTGTGCCTTGCATTTGGGCTACCTAGCAAGTCTCGACGGGACAGTTACAAAACGGAAGAGGGGTTGTTCAGACGGCCGCCTTGCGCATTTACCCCGAGTGCATACATCCGGACAAATACAAATGCGAAAGAGGCAGCGCCGCAGTCAGCTGTTATTAAGGGCTCTGCACCGAATGGGCAGCTCTCCCGTTGCAGCCATACCTCTCAAGTATGCACGACGGGACCCATACTGCCCAAGTATGCACGACGGGACATATGGGACGGGGAGGGCGCTGATGCGCCGTTTGCAGCCAATCCGAGGACACGTTCTCTATTAACTAGCATCCGTTGCGTTGCGGTCTGGTCTTTGTCCAGTTGTTTATGAGGACAACAGCATTTTCAAACGCCACCCCTCCTATGAGAGGAGGTGCTTTGGTGTCCGTATACATGCACGTGACGTCCTGCGTCGTCTACTCTTTTCGCCAATAAGGCCCTCGCTTTCCTCTTTCTGTTTTTCGGTCTTCTACTTCGCCTGGCAAGAAGCGGCGTTAAGGCTGTTTCTTTTTAGGAGACTTACTGCACGTAATAAAAATTAAGGCCGTCCAGCTGCAACGCAGATGCAGTTCTGGCTAATGCTGTCCCGGAGCGTCCGAGCGTTTGCAGCATCTGCTGCGCGCGAACTTCCCGCAGCGCAGCAGACACGGCAAACGCTCAGGGAAAGCATGTATCTGCTTCGCAGCTGAGGAGTGCCCAAACCAATACTACGTGTGATAAGGCTCCTGAGGCTGCATCATGTGGCTGCAGCAAGCGTCATTGAAGCTCTGATACTCTTTGGGCTGCTACGTTCCACGGGGACTGTCCGCAGCTACCTTCAACTAGTCGCCCCTATGCACAAGCAACAAAATTGCTTAGGCTGCAACATGGCGGCTGCAGCAAGTTTGCAGCAACTTTCGACTAGTTTTGGCGCTTCTATGCAGACGCAACAAATTTACTTGAGATAAGGATTGCGAGCAAGGTGCCCGATTTACTTTTAGCGCACTTTTGTTAAGGACTGTTTTTTGTTGTAGCGCCCGAAGCAGGCACGCAAGCAACTGCTGGGCTGCTCCTCACTGAGGAGCAGGTTCCGCGGCTGCCTTCCTAGTATTGCTGCCGTATTCGCCACGGAGAAGCGCGAGCGGCAAATCAAAGGTAAGACAGTACATCCGCTTGTGAGGCGCCACGTCTCGTACCTGAAGCTCACAAGGCATCATTAGCCAGCGCTCGCTATGCATGGATGGCAGCCCTCCTGTTGTCCCGTTCAGTGCTGAGGTCTATAAGTCACCCGGTAACAAGCAAGCTGCGCAGAGGGAGGGTGAAAAGCACTAACCTCGAGGATCTCCACGGGTTCCGGCCAACAACCAAGGGCAGCTTCAACTCGCGGCTGAGGCGGATCATTTCGAAATGCATATCAACGCACTCCATACAGAAAAGAGTCAGACTATGTGCACCGAAGTTGGAACGCCCATCCATCTCAAGCCGAGCGTGGAATCCCAGCGTTAACTGCAGAAAAAGAGCCTCACCTTGAGTTCATGCTCCGGATTGGGATCCCTACAAAACGCGTAACAGTGCACGCGCCATTTAGAAATATGCGTGGATTCCCCAGTTGCTGCGTTGCTGCTAAGCGCTTCTTCGTCCGGGCGGTGCCTCTTCGGATGGGGCTCAGATTCATTGAATAGCCCTGGAAATACGTCTGAATGGAAAGCAGCCCACGCAGCTGAGCAACAGGTTGTAGAGGGATTTGCAAGCGCACCTAAATCGTCAGGTGTACGGAAACCCGAGCAAAGAAGGCACTGCAGCAGCACCTCTCGAGACCGTGCAAGATAGGTGACAGATGGAGGGATTTAAAAGACTGACCCAGGAATTCAATCGCTAGCTCTGGCAGGTTCATTAGCACATGCACCTCGTCCGCGCCTTGCTGATTGTTCTTCTTTTGTTCGATGGCTCCTTCTGCTTTGGACGGGGTTTCGCCTGCTTGCATGCGCTTCTGTAGGAGGGCAGCAATTGCCGCCGGCTGGGCTTGAGAACGAAGGAAGTCTCGAGCGTCTTGATTGTGTACCTCCACCAAATTCCCTACCTGAAGCAGCAGCCGCAGCAGTCGCAGTCCAGCAGCCATCATGAGCGTCACTGTCGTTGAAAGTAGCAGCCCTACGGAGCTCACCGTAGAAACGCAGTGCCAAATTATTGTTCGGTGTTAATTTCGCTAATGGTAGCCCCAACAGCAGCGAGCACAGCAACAGCAATGATCACAGCAATACCACTTCGTCCTCACCCCGTTCCTCTTGACGTTTGTGTGCATGTTGGCTGCAGATGCGGGGTTGCCATCGTTTGCAGCGACGACACAGCCTTTGCGCGCGAGGAAGACAGCGAATGCCCCGACGCCAGCAAAGGCATCCACTACAGAAAACACAGAAAAGCAAGGGTATTGAAGTATATTGATGCGAACAAATTATTCCGGAGGGCGCGGCACTCGGGCGCCTGACCCTACATCATAAGCGATAGAATGACGTCCGGAGGCTGGAACGAACATACTTCTCCAGCAGCAGCAGCAGCGCTGGCGGCTGCTTCTGCTGCTGCTGCAAATACTTGCGAGCTTGCTAAGCCATATGCCTTCACTGTTAGTGCTGCCACTTCTGCCGCTGCAGAGGCGACGCATAACGCTTCCGCAAGAAATTGACGCTTACAGACAACTGCATGCCTTGGGATCGTTGCCGTGATGCGCTGCCGTTCACATGAGAGCCTGTAAAGCGCGTGCAACAGCAGAAGCCCTCAACTTCAATACGACAGCCTTAAACGTACCAGACGACAGCACCAAGCAACCAACAACTGCGAGTAGGGCTCGGCAAAAGAAGCGCGAGTGCCACTACACAAGCAACAACAGCAACAGGGCCCGCCGACCAGCAAAGGCAGGAGGCGGGAGGGCAGCCACGTACCTGGAGTTCCAAAATGCCTTGGCATAATCAACTTCGAAGACTAGGTCGGATTCTTTCTGCAACGAGCGATGCAGCAACAGAATCCAAGAGACACAAGCAATTGAACTGTCCTCAAAACCAACGAAAAGCGGCTTTCGGCGTTCCCCAATCACAGACCCCTAACGTGCCGATATCTGAAACCCATGTGCAGGCGCTGGTCGATGCTACCCGTGCTCTGCTGCTGCGGCTGCTTCCTGTGGGGCTGTGGGGCTCACAACCTTAGCGACGTATGCCGCTTCCCCCGCGATAAGCTCGAACTGCAGTTCTCTCCACTTCGGGCCAATGCCAGTCTTCAGGACCACTGTGCGCAGCTGAGGGTGTTTCTGCAGCAGCAGCAACACTTACAAACACCATTCAGAATAAACGGACTGCAACTGTAGAAGCATCAGAACTGGATGGGCGAGCCCTCATCAGCAACTGCAGCAGGCGGGGCTCCCCAACGTCCGCCACAGCCACCACCAGAGAAACTTCCAGCACCTGAAATTGGAGCTTCCCACATCAGAAGCTGATACGCGAAGTGTCTCGAGATCGAAGTGACGACGACGGCAGCAGTAAGGACAACTGTAACGACAGCAGCAACAACCATGACAACACCAGCAACAATGACGGCAGCGGCGTCTTACATCCAGGACAACTTGGCCAATGGCGTATTTGAATTTCAGCAGGGAGGCAGGGAGGTTGAGGTGGGCGATGTGGCCCACACATTCAAATCGGTGAGGTGTTTCCACGCCCTCAGGCAACAATGCCGCCAGGCACTCCACTGTGCACACACCCCGAACTCCGCAGATACAAATATACACGCAATGGGCGAAACAACCCCATCTCTCCCGACTCAAGGTGCTGCAGAGAGCAAGAGGTGAGGCTGGGTTGCAACTGTATCACTCCGCACAATCCTCCGCAGCCGCAAAAGGCAAGCAGATGCCCGTAGCATCAGAGGTTAAGAGAAGAGGAGCGCAAGAACGAAGAGCAAATGCAGCTGCGGTTGCAACGGTTGGAGCCGCCTGTGGCAGCGACGTGTTTGTGGAGTGTAACGCACAGACGGATAGGTTTTCATAACCCAGAAACACGCGGTGTCGGAACACTTGAATGCCTCTCTCCTTCAAGAGGCTCTGCAGCAAGTCCGGCAGTCCCTCCAGCTCTGCAAGACGCAAGAAGACAGGACGTAAGACAGCTAACAAAGTAAAAGGGAGAATCATGCGGCGTAAAGTGAATAATGGCCTAATACTTCATACGCAATGGGCGTTCCAATAGCTGAGTATGCAGCCCTTACTGCCCCCGCCGATTCACATGACTCTCGTCTCGGCTGCTGCTCTATTGCTTGCCTGGGCCTATCGAAGGATCCAAGAGGAGGCACTTGAAGCCCCTCCCACTGCCTTTGTGCAGCACCTCTCCTTCGCGCTCCTGCTGATGCTGCTTTTGCATCTCGGGCTGCTCTTGCTGCTGCGCCTCCATAGGCTGCTCCTGTTGGCCCTGTTGCTGCGATTCCTCCTGCTGCGAGATCTCGAAAGTGTCCGCTATAACCGGCCTCAAATTTCTTCGCTTGAAGAGGTACCTAAAGCCACACGCCAACAATGCTCCTTAACGATCACCCCTCTGCCCTCCTTGCTGCTTTCTGCGTGGGATGCAAAGCCACCGCAGTGGTATCCGAAACGAAGAAGTTGCAACCAGACGAAGTCGCAGGAGCACATGCGGCGAGGCCAGCGGCAGGAATGTACTTTCTCAGCGCCTTTGACAATTCTTGGAGCTGGTGAAGCGGTACTCGAAGACAAGTGGCTTCTTCATGTTTGCAGAAGGAGGCCTTGTCCAGCTTCACGAATTCGCCGCCTTCCGGCGCTGCAGCTACTTCTGCTTCTTCTGATGGCATACCTGTCGATGCTGCTGCTGCAGCTCCTTCTCCAGCTGCGGCGGCTTTGTCGGGGTTATCCGCCGCAGCTTCCTTCCCCAGAAGTGGCATGCAACCAGGCCGCATCTTTCCAGCAAAAGGCGGTCTTTGGTGGTGCCACTTCTGTGGTTGCTGGTGCTGGCGGTGTTGCTGCTGCTGCTGCACGTGTGTAGCGGCACTCTCAGAGGCGTCCGAAGCCAATGCGACGAGGAGCGGACAGTCGCTGCCGGCCACTGAGGGGCTGACGATAAAAGCAGTGCTGCTGCTGCTGCTCCTCGTACGCAGCCACGTTTGCTGTTGCTGCTGCAGTAAAGATGCAGCACAAGCTGCTGCAGCAGCAACACGAAGACAGCGAGTGGTAGTCTTTCGCCTACCGTACCCTGCAGCGCCTTCAGCCACTAAAAATGAGGCATTCCCCCTTCTGAATGCTTGTGCCTGCGGCGTCTTACTCCTTACTGCAACTGCTGCTGCAGCTGTTTGTAACGCAGAGCCCGTACTGTCGCAGCAGCTCCTGTGCAGACACCTGATTTGAGCCGTCCCTTTTCCGGCGCTGCAGCTACTTCTGCTTCTTCTGATGGCATACCTGTCGATGCTGCTGCTGCAGCTGCTTCTCCAGCTGCGGCGGCTTTGTCGGGGTTATCCGCCGCAGCTTCCTCCCCCAGAAGTGGCATGCAACCAGGCCGCATCTTTCCAGCAAAAGGCGGTCTTTGGTGGTGCCACTTCTGTGGTTGCTGGTGCTGGCGGTGTTGCTGCTGCTGCTGCACGTGTGTAGCGGCACTCTCAGAGGCGTCCGAAGCCAATGCGACGAGGAGCGGACAGTCGCTGCCGGCCACTGAGGGGCTGACGATAAAAGCAGTGCTGCTGCTGCTGCTCCTCGTACGCAGCCACGTTTGCTGTTGCTGCTGCAGTAAAGATGCAGCACAAGCTGCTGCAGCAGCAACACGAAGACAGCGAGTGGTAGTCTTTCGCCTACCGTACCCTGCAGCGCCTTCAGCCACTAAAAATGAGGCATTCCCCCTTCTGAATGCTTGTGCCTGCGGCGTCTTACTCCTTACTGCAACTGCTGCTGCAGCTGTTTGTAACGCAGAGCCCGTACTGTCGCAGCAGCTCCTGTGCAGACACCTGATTTGAGCCGTCCCTTTGGGCATCTGTGGAGCCCCATACGGTCTCGAGCAGCTGCAATAGCTGCAGATTCTGGTGTTTACAGTGTACGGAATTGTGTGGTCCGTTCTGATGCAGTGTTGTTCGTGCTGCTCCTTCACTCAGGCAACAGCAGCAGCAGGAGGGGGGCTAGCTTGCGTTCCCCTGCACATTACTGCAGACGACGTTGATGCAGTACTGCAGAAGATCATTCCCAAATAGATGAGTAGACAACTACCGAAATATAAGCCTTTGGAATACGGGTCAACACCAGCTGCCGTAGGAGCCCCACGGAGTCCTAGGGGCCCTCAGAAGCGCAACGGAGGCAGCGGCACTAGCCGATAGTCCTTCCAGCAGCCACAACAGCAGTATCATGGGCGTGTATATCCTAATTGAAACTTAGCCGGTGCATTTGTAGAGGTAGACTGGTTACCCTGAGCTGCATATTGGAGAGCAGCCTCGACAAGGGCCCCCTCGACAGTATCGAGGACACTCGACGGCTCGAGGTAGAGAGACTCATTACCAGCAACAGCAACAGCAGCCGCCTTTATTCTGTTTTCGAACTGTTTGGCTTTCCTGAAGCTAAATGCTGACTAATCACCAACAGAAAAGGGAACAACTGACTCGAGCGCCGCTCGGCCCCGAGCGCTGGCCAGCGACAGCGACACCCGCTGACGAAGTTTACTAAAAGCTTTTAGCTGCACGAGGCTCACACTTCACTATGGCTGCAGCTCCAGTTTTGGCAGCACCAAGATTGTCGGTGTTGGCCCCGACAAATGCTGGGCTTTTGTCGCCTTCTCTGTGCAGCCGGCGCACCCAGGCGTCTGTTGCTCTCGGGCCGGAGTTGGTCTGAGGAGAATGTCTGGGCGATGACAGGCCGAATATGGAAGCCCTGTTCAACTTCTTGCTTCAGGAGGACGCCCCCGGGGAGTCCTTCGACGCCCGGGCCGCGCGGCCCAGCTGCAAGGTCTGCGGGGCTGACGCGTGGCTTCAGTGGGATGGACAATACGCTGACTACTGCAGCAGGAGCTGCCGAGACAAGCAGGCTGGTAACCAGGGCCACCTTCCAGCTACAAGGCCCTTTCAACCGCCACAGCGTCGCGCGGGGGGTTCCCGAGGGCATCCGGACATGTTAGGAGAGAGGCAAGTGCAGCTGCAGCAGGAGAAAGAAGCCCAGTGGGAACTGCAGTTCTCACCCAGAAACCGATATCTCCCTCGGAAGAAGGCGACTAATCAAGAACGAGACCCCCGGCAGCGGCAGCAGAGAGGAAAGGATCCTGGGGCTGTTTCTGCTGCTGCCGGAGCATTTGCAGAGGCTGCAGCAGCAAAGAAAGTAGCCAAAGCCTTGCGGCAGAGAGCTCCACGAAAGGCATCCCCAAGAAACTCCATAAGTCCCCGTATGGAAGGGGGCCCCACCTCAGTAGCTACCACCCCTAGGAGGATGCCGAGCATCGGCCCGAGCTGTTCTGAGGAGAGTCCGCCGCTGCAGAGACAGCGCACTGTGGCGCGGTTTGTGGAGCAGGGGGAAGATGCAGCAGAACTGCAAGCAGCTTTGAAGGAGTATCAAGAAAATTTAAGCAGCGAACGGCATAAGCTCGAAGAAGAGGGCACTGCTGCCGCTGGGCACCATCGTAGATGTGCAGCTGCTACTACTGCTGCTGATGCTGGGCATCTTCGTAGATGTGCATCTGCTACTTCTGCTGCTGAGGCTGCTGCTGATGCCGAGCCAGCTTCAGACCAGAAACGGAAGGAAACAGAAAGTTCAGTACGGTGGGGGCAGCGGGAACGAGCAAAGTACGAGGAGCAGGTAAAGGCCATTAAAACTGAATCGGAGCAGCAGCTGCAACAACACAAGGCACAGCTCGCACCAGAAGTAAAGCGACTCGCAGACGAAGAACTCGACGTCCAAAGGGCCCTGGAGAAAGAGCTGGGGGAGGTCCGCGCTTCACTGCAGCAACTGAAGCAGCAACAGGAGCAGCACCAGCAACAGCACCAAAAACTGCTTCAGGAAGAGCTTCAGGACCACCTTAGGGCTCACCTGCAGCAGGATCTGGAACAGCAGCTGGAACAAAAGCTCAGAAAGCAGCTGCAGGAGGAATTGGAGCAGCAAGTCCGTCAGCAACTGCACCGGAAGCCGCGGCAGCTGGCAGGTCCTGACAGCGCCGAAGGGACTGAAGGGAGGAGGTCGAAAGAGCACATTCTGCGGAAGGAACTTGTGGAGCAACAGCTGCGCCAGGAGAAGCGACTGGAGCAGCAACTCCTGCAGCAGCAGCGACAACAAGAGAAGTTGTTGCATCAACTGCAGCAACAGGCGCAGACGCTGCAGCACCTGGCTGCTGCAACGGGGACGCGCAGCGATGTACGAAGACCACAGAGGCCCTGTAGCAGAGGGGAGGAAGAAGAAGTCGATCAACAGCTGAGAGATCTGCTGCTTCAGGGCCTCTTCAGCCACTTCAGGGTAGACGAAAGCCAGCAGCAACAGCCGCACCAACACCAGAAGCAACAACAACCACTGACACTAGAAGTGTCTAGTTGGGCGGAGAGGGAGTTGGCTCTACAAGACGCAAAAGCTGCAGCAGCTGCTGCTGCTTCAAAAGAAAAAGGGAGTCCCTTCTGTGGACCGTATGAGGGCCAGCTTGAGGCCGCCGTTCTTGAGACCAACCTGCAGCTACTAGAGCCCACGCAGCAGCAGCAACCGCAGCAAGGTCTGCGGTTTGGCAGCAAGCTGCAAATTGTGTTTCGTGTTGCCACGGGGCCAGGTGCATGGGAGGAAAAGGAGACGTCTTTTTCTGCTGATGGACGTTGGGGGGAGACATTTAGCTTCAGGGTGCACTGGCCGTCTGCTGCTGCCGCTGCTGCTTCTGCTGCGCTGTATGCGCAGCTGTGGGCCACCATTAACAGCAATGCCGCCAGCACGGGCCACTGCAACTTCAGCAACCGCTGCTTCTTGGGAGAGGCTGTACTCCCGCTACCCACTTTTACAAGCCCCTGGGAGTACAGAGCCCCCCTGAGGTGGCGCAGCAGCCTAGGAGTTAAATCACAGCAGCAGCAGTTGCTTCAGCATGGGAATCTACTGCTGCGCGTTCAGTTCCATCCTACCGATGAGGCCCATGCCCCTGTGGCTTCAACGATGAAGCAAGAGGAACGTCAGGCTCTATTCCCAAGCAGGAAGGCTGGGCGGCTCAGCAAGCCAAGCCGTTGCAAAGGCAGTAACAAGGCCGGCAGCAGCAGCAGTCGCACCAGTCAAAGCACTGATAGCAGCGGCAGCCGCCGCACTAGTGGTGGCGTCGACGGCCAAAGCGAAAAGCAGCTGCAGCTGGCGAACCTTCCCCTGGATGTCTCTGAGGAAGACGGTATGCTGCAACAGAGGCTGCTACAGCAGCTAGAGGAACTTTCGCTTGACTGGCGGCGTGAGCTGAGTGAAGAACAACGGCAACAAAAACACCATAGGGGGCGCATCCCCGTTCTTATTGACGGCCAGTTGCTCCAGGAGCACCTTCAACGGGCTCCCATGACGGGAGCCCTGTGCACGAACTCTCTATGCAGCAATCTGGCCGGGGCGTTCCCTGACTTGTACGGCGAAGAGGAGTTCCGCGTGTGGGGCCTCTGCAACAGCTGCCAGCAGCAGCTGTTCACGACACCTCTTCCAGCAGGAAGACATGAGGAATGTGCTTGCAGCGCACTGGTACAGCTGGCCTCTCCGTTTGCTCACTGCTATAGAGACACCTGTCACCAGCTGGGTGTAGCCCAAGCCCTTGCTAAGGCAGCAGTGCGTCAGGAGCCGCTACCATTCGCAGAGCTGAGGCTTGACGGGGATATCCCAGTAGCGTTTCCTACGCCTGACCGCTTGTGGCCCTCTGCCTTGCAGCTATTACACGCCCAACGTTTCTCCCTGGTATGTATTCAAGAGCGGCTGCGTGTCTGCAGATGCAGCGGCGAGCTGCTGGCGCTTCTTCAGTCCCCTCTGTTGCAACGATTCGAAAGGCCGGACTGGCACTCCCGTGCTGCTGCCGCAGTACGCACCTGCCTGCTGCTGTTGCTGCAGCAGCACCCCAAGCTGCAGCTCCTCTTGTCCTCCCTTCGAGGCCGTCGCATCAGCTATCCTGATCCGCTGCAGCTGCGTTTGCTGCGCCGCATACAGCAGGAGTGTCCGCAGAGCAAAGGAGAGCCCCCTTGCATTCTTCACCAAACGGATACAGAAAGCAGTGCGAAGCCCCCCACTCTACCGCATAACTTTGCGGGGTCGCTGTTGATGGATCTGTGTGCAGCTCTGAGTCCCCCAATTTATGAGTAGTATTTGCAGGGGAGTCGCCAATCCATCCCTTTGTGCGGAAAAACGGCGGCGTCCTCGCAGAGGCATTTGTCTGCTACGAAGCTGCCGTCTTTTCTGCCTGCTTTTTTTTGTTCCCAATGCCCCCAATAACTCTGACTGCTTGGCTCCATTGCAGGGGATTTCGGTACTTTCTGTCAGAGTCGAATGACACATAGGGTAGGAAGAGCTCCTCTCAGCAGGCACAGAGCCCCCGCCCATTGGCTACACAGCCGCTCGAGCACATACAAATAAACAAGGTATTCCTCCATGGCCTACGGCAACACTTCTCACGGGTCCCTCACATTTGGCAACATATCAGAAGTGTTGCTTTTGGCTGCCCACCCTTACCACGGGAACCGTAGCTGTATCTGCAAGGACGGGAAGCATGTGAAGAAGAACTAGGAACAGATCAGAATCTGTTTCCACTGCAGTAGTAGCTACTGGTCAACTTATTTGAGTAGCACTGAGAACACCAACAAACTTTTCCTGACTGGAGCTCTCGCACGAGCTTCCCACGGCCCGCCCTTAGCAGAGCTCCACTAACTAAGAAAATAGCGACCCTTGTTTTCAGTTCAGTTGTTCCTGGTCACATAGGCGGCCTATTGCCCATGCCTTGAGGCGGCATGTAGTGGTTAGAGTCCATTGAGTGCAATGACAGGCAAGCGCCTTTCCGGTAGTAGTGCAGCTTATTGTAGAGTAGCAGCGGCATTTCATCAGCTGAGTCTGCTGCATATGGTGCACGGGCTGTGGCTTACCTCTACACATGCTGACCCGTTGAGTGCCGTGTACAGTTGAAGTGGCAGACCCAGTAAACGGCGTCATATTACATCTCCAATACGGCAACAAACTCATGGTAACCTTCAGTGTCAGACACGTTTACTTCCTTCCCTTGTGGGCCCCATAGGAGGGGACACGGGACGGCTCACATTGGCGGGGGCCCACACGGGGCCTCCCCCAGTAGGGGCTGCTTTTGTCAAGGCATTTTTTGATTAGATGAAGAATCCAAACCGTATAACATCTTTTTCTTCTTATGCAAAGCAGAAGACGCGTGGGGAATCAGAGACGACAGAGATGGGTCGAATCGTAGCGCTGCGGGCCAAGCTGGCAAGCCACGAAGCTTCAGTGCAGCCAGTGAGCTGCAAACAGTGATATCACAACAAGCATATCACAGGTTTCAAAGCATCGGATACGATGGGGGAGAAAAGTCTTCCGTTGCAGCCTTTGCTAGCAGTGGCCCCGATGATCGCAGTATCGAATACGCATTTCCGGTGAGGTCGCCGAGAACGTCGTTTCAATCTGTTTGGCTTCCCTCGATGGACCAGCAAGAAAGCAGCATGTGCCACTACAGTGTTCAGCATACGTGCTTGGTACTGTCATCAGAAGAATCCACTGCATATGCTACATGCGTGCCAAATTTGGCCATTTGCAGTACTCACTTGTGCTGGACTCAAATGGCAACTTCGGCATTCCTGCCCTCAGGAACTTCATGCGTTTAATTACCCGACATTGCACCCTCTACACGGAGATGATCGTTGACTCCACCATACTGCACAACACGCACCACGTGGAAGAATATCTTGGTACGACACGCAATGCTGTTTCCTCTTTCCCTTGCCCTTCATTTCGTTATTTGCTTCATGAAGTTGTGAAGCAATATGTGGCTCAATGCAGCGATGTCGAAAGGACGTCTGTATGCGTGCGGCGTTCGCATGTAGGCTTCGATGAAATTGAGCACCCCATTGTTTGCCAACTCGGTACGGTCTGGCGGCCCTTGCATTCATTTTGCTTGTCACATCTCTCCTAAAGAACTGAGATATGCTTCGCATCAAGAAGCGCTGTATCTTATGCGGCAGTGCATTTGCTTTTCAATTTTGCCCACAAGGCGGTTCAAATCCTGCGACGCTGGCAGAGGCAGCTACATGGGCCGAGAGGGCCGGATACGACGAACTCAATCTTAACGCAGGGTGTCCGAGCTGCCGAGTTGTGACCAAGGGTGAGCTAATTGATTTTTGCTTTTGGTTCGCCTCCAGACCTTTGTGAACTCATCTCCCTTCCCAGTGGCCCGTGTACGAAGATATCCGTACCAACTGTAGGTGTAAAACACATCTGGACGCTGTTTCGAGATGGAACTGCAACCACTTTTCTGCTGTAGTGCTATTAGTGATATTACTGTTCAGGCTGTTTCGGCGCTGCGTTGATGAAAACGCCTGAGAAAGTGCGGGACATCGTACATGAAATAAAGAGGCGGGTGCAGATTCCCATCACTGTCAAATGCCGTTTGGGGGTTGACCACTTGGACACTCCAGAATTCACTCGCAACTTCGTTAACGTAAGCTGCAGCGTTCGGCGCAAGCCAAGAGGCCAAAGCTGAGGTTTCTGTCATGTGACGCTGCGGCTCTGGTACTCTGCGCAAGCGCTGCGCTGCACTGTGACACACGCTTCTGGGCTGTTGCTTGCAGACAGTTGCACAAGGCGGGTGCAAACACTTTATTGTGCATGCCAGGAAGGCTTGGCTCCAAGTATGCCATGGCGTAACTACCCCAACCCATTTTGCACCATCTTTGAGCTCTGCCAATCCTACAAGTAGACGAAGTCATCGAACTTTCTCATGCTGCTGTAGCGGTCGTCCTTCAGCTAACTCAGGTTTGGTACTGTAAGACTCTCGCTGGTGTTCAACTTTTGTTGAGCTTTTTCGTTCAATTGCTTTAATGTTCGAAGGGGGTAGACCCGAAGAAGAACCGCTCCGTCCCACCATTGCTTTATGGGAGGTGCGTTTCGCTGAGAAGCATAGAATTTCGTGGCACGCCAGGTGCCGTCATTGCGTCTTTATTGAGCTCTTCTGATTCTGAAACTGATTGCACGTACGGTGTTAGATGTTTTGCAGGGTGTTTGAGCTGTGTGACGCTTTCCCCGACCTTCGCTTTTCTCTAAACGGGGGAGTGACAACTCTGGAGTTGGCGGAGAAGTTGTTGAGTGGGGAATGGAGGAAAACGGAGGAAGCAGGAACAGCGCATCCTCGTAGCCGGGGAATTGAGGCTGCAGACGGCCTGCAATTCTCAAAGCTGCATGGGGTAATGATTGGCAGAGCCGCCATGAACGATCCTTGCTGCCTTGCACAAACTGATAAACTTATTTACGGTAGGGGCAAGCTGCACGAACGTGGGCAGAGTCTCAAGAGTTAAATTAGTTGGAGCACTGCTGCTTAACAGCCGTTTCTCGTGTCTTGCCGAGGACGACAACAATCATCGGCCTTTGCATGGTACTGGGGAACTCTTGTGGTTTCTCTTCGCTATTCTGCAGGAGCAGTCTCCAGTCCTGGAAGTGCTCATTGTAGACGAAGTCTCCTCTTGGTGCGTGGGCTAGTGACTAGAGCGTTCTCGGTCGCACAAGGGAAAATCGTGGAATTGCTTGTTTGTCGTTTCCTGCCTCCTAGGCCTACTTGGACTACCTGGAGCACTACGAAACAAGCGCTGCGAAACGAAAAAATCCTTTTGTTTTATTGAAGCCGGTGCTCGGAGTGTTGAGCGGCATGCCAGGGCAAAGGCACTTCAGACATGCACTTGGTAATTGCTACTCTCCCTGTTCGATTCCCCTGTTTCCAGGCCACTGGCGTACCATACTTTCCGGAAGAACGAAATGTTGTCGCACTTCCCTGCTAGCTCATTTGGGCGTCACTTGTGCGAATGATGCAGACACCAAAATACGTACCTCAGCTCCGGACCAGACAGCAGTGGAGGCGCTGCTCCACGCCATGGATGCCATAGACGAAATCTTCCCGGGGGTTCTCGATTACCCATTGAGTATGGGGAAGAACCCGCGATACGAAGAAATTAGTTCAGTAGAAATTGGGTGGCGCTCTTCTGATGATTGAGCGCGCCTTCGTTCCACAAGTGCCGAAGGTGCCTGTACACCACGGCATCAAAACTTGCCTCTTTGTGCTTCCACCTGTCAAAGGCGGAACTTTCTTTAGTTTTCCATACCGAAGCTTAGCAGTATTTCCTCTTTTATTCTTTCCAGAGAGACTGACACCTGAGAGAAGGCAGAGTATTCCCATACTGACCAGGGTGGATGCTGCAAAAATGTCGGCTTCCCTCGAATCTGCTAGCATTACGGTGAAACAGAGCGCTGAATTGTCTTTTTTGTCTTTCAAAGATTTCGCCCGGAGCCCGTTGGGAATTTGCCACACGTTGCTGGCTATTTACGCCACAGGTTTTACCATGCAGGTCTGCAAGCTTTCTGAATGGCCATATTGGTGGAATGGAACTGTCATTTTGTCAGATTGCACTACTTCCATACATTATTATGGAGCTTCAACAGCCTGTCCAGGTAAGGATCGCTTTGTAAGGGAGAGCTACGCTGGCATTTAATTTGAGACATGAGTAGGCCAACGGCTGGGTGTTAGGTGAAACGCGAAAAAACCTAAGCCTGTCTTCCTGTTACACAAGCTTTTTCTAGGGGTATTCTCGGTGTGTCAACTAGTTGGAGCCCCACTGTTTGGGAGGATTGGGGACGCTTTGGGACCGCGAAGCTCGTGAGCTCTTGCCCTATTGCGTACTTTCTGAACGTGTACTTTGACCCCCTAAATCAATTCTCTTTCAGCTTCATCATTGCGATGTCGTCGTGTTGCGTTATGTATATCATGGTGAGGAGACAAGAACTGTTTTCGTGTAATATGCATGGAGCAAGGACGGCACGCCACAGATGGCCGTCGCATCAAGCATTCCAGCACTGTTTGTTAGCCAGCTTCCTGGGTTTATGGTTCACGGGACACAAGCAGCTATGATGGTCGTTGCGCTGGAAACTGGAGAGAAGAGCCGCACAGCGCACTTGGCCTACTTAAATCTTTCCTACTGTGTCGGCCTTGTGGCGGGGGGGGCCATTGGCGCTGCACTAGCGAACTCCATAGGGCCTAGGGGAACGCTCATTGTTGCTTCTACAATTCAGCTTGTTGGCTGCTTCGTGGCGTTTAGACTTGGTAAGCGCAGTGCGGCTGTTCGTCAGAAGTGGCATTCTTTACCTCATGCATCCCTTGCTTCTGCATCTCCTACACACATTGGAATTCCTTCAGATGAATTTAACGAGCTGTTTAACGCACCGCATTTACTGCCGGACTTGAGTATGTTCTCTTGAGCTTTGTGTGGCGCGCGTGCTCATCATGCACGCGCCGCACAGGTATTGTCTCCGTGAAGGCGGAAATTCAACGTCTTGGCTCCATCGCCTACAGATGTGCCTCGAACTGCCTGGTAATGTTTGTAGGCCTCTTCCCGTGAGCGTACACGACCGCTTCTTCCATTTGGGTCTTCAAAGGGTTATGTGTAAATCTTCAGGATCTTGGTGGCGCGCTATGCCTTCACGCCGATAGTTGTGGATATATATCGTCGGTTGAACTAAGCAACAAAAGCATAAAACTCATGCCACCCAAACCCCTTGAGCGCTTCAGGGCTCACAGTAAGATCGGAACAAACGGAGTGTCAAACGCACTAGCACGCTTGTTTTTCCAGCCTTCTCAAAGCAACATCCTCGTTACGCTCATTGGAGTCGTCATGGTTGGTG